TTCAGACTGATTTTGGTTAGTTTTTGTACGATGATTGATGATAATCATTTTCCAAATAATTTTGAATCACACTGTATGTGTTTTTGGTGATTGTCCGCAGTTCAACATGGTGAGGTTTTTTAGGGTGCATCTATTTTTGAGACATACAACGAGAATATTGCGTACCAAGCAAATTTTTGATCAACCCGATAAAATATGTTACTACGTGTTTGACGTTTTTTTCGGTACTTGTCATTTTCCTAAATTTTCTAAAAAACCTGGGAGGCTTTTGTTACCTATTTTCGGTCATATATGCTAAATTAATTGAATAGTACATGTAATTATAAGCAATTTTTCATTTATATTTCATCCTATAAATAATATCAAATTGAAAGTTGTCCAACATGTATACAATCGGTTCCAAAAATAGATGACTTCTTATAGTGTTTTCTAAGTTTTGTCCGTCTTCTGCGACGCATTATGAATAATTTGACCGAGAATTAATTTTATTGCTCGACAGGAATAACAAACAGTACAAATGATAACAAAAAAATACTTAAATGGTGGCAGTTGCCAAAAGATTTCATATATAATACATGTTAATTGTAACAAAATTGCAATTTTACATGTTATGAAACTATTGAAATGCTTTTTATAAAAAAAGCCAGCAAATTGAAGGTGCATACAAATAGATGTTGGTGTGTATTATGTGAAATACCAAAACTGATAAAAAATTTCAAGAATTGGACGAGCGGGAACGTAGATATCGACGAATTTATCAAAAACACACAACTTAACGCTGAAAGTTATAAAGGATATTTAGAATGGATTCCCTTTGATAGATTTATTATTCACGAACAAGGGAGATTCATGTATAAAGCAACTTGGAAAGATGGACCAAGAGAGACTGAATATCACAAAGGAAAGTGTGAGAGAACTCGATCTAAGAATAAGAAAGTTGCTCTAAAAAAGCATAAAAAAACACAACTTACTGAGGTAATCCGTTATTTTTTATGTCAAAGCACGCGGTGACTTTCTAATATATCTTATTTATATGCTAATATTTTGACTTAATTTTTGATTTAACTTTGTTAGTTGAAATATCATTACGAATGCAGCGTGAAAGACAAAGGTTTTCTACCATTCTATGGAATAACAAAGTGTTCCGACGAGTATTTTCTGGTATTTGAATACGCTGAACATGGTAATTTGCGCGAATACTTGCAACGAGAAGAATGGAAAATAATGACGATTGTCGACCAACTTAAAATATTGTACGACATATTAAACGATTTAAAAACAATTCACAGAAATGGGCTAGCACATAACGGCATAAATAGCGGGAACATATTAATAACAGCGTCCAAAGTAAAAAGAGCTTACATTTGTGACCTTGGATCAACGAGGCCGGAAAACTCTAAAGAAAGTGATATTTATGCAATCGGAAAATTAATTTGGGAAATTTGCAACAAACATGGCAAGAGACCAAAATTTACCGTAAAGTACGACATATATAAATTATTATATCGTTTAGCAACATGGTGTCAGAATGACAATCCCATAAAAAGACCAACAATTGATGTAACATTAAGATATGTGTTTAATTTATTGTCTTTTTGTCAATTCCCATGTAATCCTTGTGAATTACCATTATTATCGGTACCTCCTACGTCATCACCCAATTTTACGCCTTTGCATGATATTGAAGCTTTAAAAACAAACTTGAGACTGAAAGTGGAAACTATACTGCTAAAAGTCAAATCGACCTTAATGAACTCATTGAAACATAGAATTTTGACTTTTGGCATTTTTTTGGCTATTGTAAAAAATTTTTTGCTGGCTATAATAAAAAGTTTTTTAAAGGAATACTCTGAAATATAAAATATTATCGAAGAATGATCAGTCATCAAATTGTTTTTTCTTTGGACTTGACCTCAGGGAATATCCACTTCCTTTTGCTCTCATAGATCTAAATCGATTTTCTTTTTCATTGTCACTTTTGATCTTTATTCTTTTCTTTACTGGTAAATTTTCAAATTTTTGTTGTTCTTCAGCGGTTATGAACACAATCGGTATGCTCAATTGACTTTCCAGTTGACGTTTCCTTGCTCTGGTTTGGTGAACTTCATAAACCGGAAGAGATCTTGATAATGATGTTTTCGTTGATTCATCACTTTCTTCTTGGATAAGGTCACGAGATTTTACATAAATTCTAATTTGCCGACGAAAGATTCGAAGAATTTCAAGGAAAGCGACAAAGTCGGCAAAAGAAGGGGTTTTAAACTCTATCTGCTGTTCTCCTTCGTCAAACTCCATCCCATAATTGGCAAACTCACAAAAAGGAGCATTCTCGTTAGGAATACGCAATGATTGTTTTTTTAGCAATCGGCAATGATCCCAATACTCCCGTTCGATTGTATCATGAATAGCATTCTCTAATTCGAGCTTTTTATTCGTCAGCCAATTTTTTTTCTCCTTTCTCTCGAGTGAAATATAATCTTGGATATAACTACTAATTGAGTGAGCCCAATAATATCGTACTCCATCCTTGAAAATATCTCGTGGAGTAAGTGGAGCGAAAATATTAATCAAATCATCTGGAACCTCCCAAATATCTCGAAGAGTAGTCTCACTTAAAAATAGATAGGAAATTAGAGCTTGTAGATGAATCGTCAATAATTTAAATCAATACCTTATAATGTTTTTCCGCAAACAATTAAAACAACATCTTATTCTCGCATTCCAATACACTTTTACTTTACAATAGTTTTCGTCATAACAAAGTTGACATCCATCGCTTTTTACCAACTCTTGATATTCTTGTTCCGGCATTCCAGCTGGTGGAGGCATTTGAAGAAATTCACAAAACCCTCGTCTTGAAGATTCCCAAATTTGTTGAGTCACCGAATCGATTGTTGATGCAAGGATTTCGTTGAATTTCAGACACGTTAGACTTAACGAATAAAGATCCGTGGGTGATAGAAATCTACAGATATTGGCAAATATCTCGATTGAATTTATTGCAATTAATAGAGATGAAGGGAAACTGTTTTCTATCGTCATCATGTTATTAGTTTTGTTATAGACGATTGTATGCTTTGTTGTATAAATTTGCGGTGGGTTTTCAGTTTCTTGTACGGACAAAAGAATTGATGGATATTTTTCATCTTCCTCCATACTAATATTGTTTCTTTCAATGGTTTTTTCCATGTTCACTAAATATCAGACATTTAATAACAGGCCAACATTTAAAATAATATCACACCTTTACCGTTACATGTACTTGTTTGATTATTTATTCTGCATATCATCGTCATGGTGAAACGTTTCATGTACTTAACAATGGGGAATAATGGGAATAAAAATATGTTGTGTATTACTCATATTTGTCAAAGATCTGTTACATTGTACATGTAACAGCGCTCGTCAGAAGTGGCCTACCCTATAACTTTTTCGAACACAAAAAACTACGTAAACACCGGGCATTGGATGTTCGTTAAATATCTACGTTGAGAATCGTTCACTTTAGGACGCAATATCTCGATATCTAGTGTTCAGTTTCGAACAAAAATATTACCATTTTATGGGGGGGGGGCTACTTATGACGAGTGCTGTACATTTATTGAGTATGTTGATTGATTCGATGAATATTTTTGAAGAAACATTTCAAAATAAACACAATTATATCGGTATGAACAAGAATAATTTTTTAAATTTAATCTTCCAACCATTTTTACAGTAATGTCTACAAATTGGGACTTTTTACGTTTCATATAAGAACTTTACTGATAGTCAAAAAAAGCATTGTTTTGATGTTAAAATTAGATGAGAATAGCGATAAATCTGCCACTAAAATTTCGTTGTTGTTTCAGAATTAATTAATCAGAAATATTTGGAATCCAAATTTTTTTGAAGGTTAGCGTTGATATGTGATCAACCGTATTTTATTCACATGCACTTCTATTACAGCTGTGTGATTTCTGCTTAGTCAAATCAATTTGCACATATCAATCAATTTACTAATGACATTAAGAGACTCTTTTACCAAAACCCTCAGTAACAAATTACACAATTTCCTTTCAAACAAATTTATTTCAAGCCCTCAACTACTAGGAAAAGAGATGCTACAAGTTTTTATATTAATAAAATAATACAACGCATGCATTTGGAATCTGTAATGTAGGTTTTTATATAAAGTGTGGAAACTAATTCAGATTATTTAGTTTGGCAAGCTTTTAGCTCAATTTGAATCCAATTAAAGAATTTTCACACACATCTGCGCGATGCATGTCTATGTACATGTATTTATCGAACTTCACCCGAACTCAATAAAAACTTGTCGAAATACTTGATTTGTTATTTTTAAATTTCAATAAAAAAATTATTTTTAGAATTACAAGATGAAATCCTTAAAAACTATTATATTTGTATTAATGATTTATTTTAAAATTAAAACTTTGTGAAACACTTTCTTCAGGATCTCAACACATTAAAATACCAATTTAACTTCTTATATTTAAATTATAAAATTTTTGTAATATATAAATAAGAAAATCAAAATTAAATCATCAATTCAAACTCAATTTTACAAAGTTGATAAATTTCATACCGATACATATGTAATTTACTATCGCTATTTATAGCAATAGTACTCTTTTTTTGTACATTGATAATTTTTCCTGATGGAAAAAAATTTTTTATCTGCAGATGAACAAATTCCGCATTAATGCACATGAATTATTACATATATAGGATGATTGTTGAGATGTAATTAATAATATTTTTTCTAAACTTGGGGATTTTAATGATTTAATTTTCTCAGGAGATATTTAAAGATAATTCGTAGTCTTATAAATGGAGTGGATGGGAATATTATTTAGTCAAGGTCAATCAATATTCTAATTACAAAATCAAAAGAAAGCTTATTTTGTTGTTTTGAATAACGATAGATATTAAAAGCATTTTCTCATACTAACAATGACACATATTATGGAGGATTTGATCAAGTGACATTTTCAACTTTCTTTATAAAAATGTGAACCTCCCCATAGTAAAACAAGCAACCATACAACCACATCTTTCATATTCTGCAAGCTATAAGGATCAAAACGAAAATGAATAAACAAACTTCTCTTATGTTTTTTTTGGTCACTCTGACATTTTTTCTGTTTGTCTTCTCTTCGTCAGTTAATGCCAGGATCAGAAAGAGACAATGCGAACCCTTAACCTACTACTGCGACATTAATGGCAGCCCAACTTCACAAGTCGACACTACTCGAATTACTTTCACTCAATTCACTACTTGCGATGTAAGGGTCACGGGTCAGGTCAATAATGTTGATTACCCTAACGGTGCATCGAGCGTTTCAACCGAGTCTCAAAATTACGATGTCGATGTAATCCAAGACCTTAATAATCCAGACTCAACCGTCGTCTCTCTGCCTCTCACAGCAGAGGTTGTTAATCCATTTGAAGCTAATTATTATGCCCCCGCCGGTTTAGGTTTCCCATTTACGGATCTCTTAAACTACAATTGTGTAGTGAATTTAGAAGAATCGGCATCTCCTACAGGAGCAGAACAAATTCTTGGAAGTGGCACGATCATACCGGCCTCTTAATTAGATCCTTCCTTCGTAATCATATAAAGATTCATTATAGGATATGCTAATTTTGGTTTAGTTTTATGTCATTTTCGACTTTATATTCGGTAGCATACGATAATGGTCGTGGAATTCATGCTTATCGATGATTTTACAAAAAAAATGGTTATCAAAACGAATTGTCTAGATAGTGAATGTATTTGTAGATCAATAAACTTTTTTTGCTATCATTATAATTAAAATTTCTTGTTGTAGAATCTCTATCCCTATGCAATTAAAAATAAGATATTTCACGCGAAAGTCTCTGAAATTAAAAAGGAGGAATGAACATTAACGTATATTCTCAACATAACAATCGTTTTTCAAACTTGCAACTTGAATGCTTTAATATTTCTCTAAATGTCTATTAGATATCTTTCATAGTTATACAAATGTTATTCCCAGGCCGTATATATAGCAAGCTAAAAACTTGGATGCTAAAAATAATATCTCTATAATTATCAATTTAAATTCTATAGTACAGTGATCGTCATAAGTAATGAGAATCGAAAGTGGCACAAACCATACATAAAAAAAACTTGACTGTGTACAGCAAATGAAAGAAATTCCAATTATTAACAAATGAGAGACTGTAAGTCAACTTTGAAAACATGGTGTTCATGATGCTCTAACTTTGGTGAAAAAAAGTGGTATTCCCCTCTTTAATGCATATAAATATGTTACTCAACTGAAAAAAAATAAACTCAAGCCTATCTCTCATCTGGGATGTTTCACAATTTTAACTTATCAAGATCAACATGCATTAGAAAGAATCATTACAAATAACAAGTATCTTATCTGTGATAAAATTATCACAAAACTTCAATTCAAGGTTGAAATATCCACACAAACAGTAAATCATGAGCTTAATAAGCTTGGATATTATTCAAAACTTCCAAAAATCATGTCTTTACTTTTAGAAAAATATCATCTAGCTTGAGCAAAATGGATGAAAAAACATTGCAAAAAAACAGAAAAATTGTAGTATTCTCAGATAAAATCATATTTTATAATATTTTAAAATATGTTTTACAAAGATAAAACAAGTATCTTACAGAAGAAAATTTCAAAATATCTGAAGTAAGTTCATATTTAGAATATATTTTTGCATATAGAACAATTGACTTTCATATATTTATTCAAAATATGAATATAGTATTTTATTATAAAATTTTAACTAATAATCTTTTTGAAAATATAAATAAACTTAGAAAATAATATTAAGTCTTTTAGCAAGATAATGATTTAAAGTATCAGATCATGAAAATAAAAATATTTATTTATTAGATTTTAAAGCTTTTTGAATAGTTATTCTATAGTTTTGATCTTAATTTGGTAGAAAATCTCTAAATAATTATCATAATGAAATAATTCAAAAAGAAAAATTAATTAGTATTAGTTATTGATATAAATTAATTAGAAAGAAATATTTTTACAAACTTGTATCCTAATCTAATAAAAAAATATTAGATATATAAATGAGATAATCAAAAATAATAGAAAAAAATAAATTATTAATATATATATTTTTTAAATATCTATATTTTCATAAAATTATAAGTTAAATAAATAAAATCTATAAAATTTATAATTATAATAATAATTCTTATTACTTATAATAATTATTATATATTTATAAAAGAAAATCAATAATTAACTTTAAATAAAAAATATATTATAGAATTTATTTAATTTAAAAAGAATTTAATAATTCAATCTATACAGAAAATAGTATTACTATAATAATATAAAATTTCTTAATTTCATAATTTTTTCTTAATTATATAAAATTTCATATTTTTATAATTTTCTACTTTATTCTATAATTATTCTGGTTTTTCTATAATTATAAATTTATTTATTTACTCTTTATAATTATATTTCTATTTTTAAATACTATATATTATCTCTTTTATTTGAGATCTATATTTTCAATTTATTTGTTATATATAATTCATGTATTTACTAGAATAATATATTGGAAAATTCTTTCTAAACTAGTTAGTAAAATGATGAAATATCTTTTCACATCTTTCAATATCTTTTTATATCTTTTAATATTCTTTCATGTCTTTTAATATCTTTTAATATCTTTTAATATTCAAATATCTTTTCAAATATCTTTTAATATCTTTTAACATCTATATTTCTAATATTAATATAGTTCTTTATTATAATAATATGTATATTTAAATAGTATTAATTAATAATACTATAATAATTCAAAAATATATAAAAGAATCTGCTTATTTCAGTCTAAACTAAATGGTTTTGAATTAAATTATTTGGAAAATATAATTAAAAAGCTTATTATCATAATAATAGTAATCTTTTTGAAAGATTCCTTTCTAATTATACTAATACCCTTTCTCTCACTCAGTTTTATTTCTTTGACTATACAAAATTAATTTTGATTTGAATTATAATATTATATTAATTTTTAATTTTGATATTATTTTGAGAATAGAAAAT